CTTCCGATCCAGGCTCCAACATACTCATCATCACTTACGACTTGTACCATCACTTCATATACTACTGCATCTGAACTCTTCTGTGCAAGGCCAAAATTCTGTGATTACACTGTAATTACTTAGGACAGTAACCAGTGACATTCTGGATGTTAATGATGTTAATGTTGAGACTGAGGAGTATTTTATTTTGGATTTTAATCTGTCACAGTTTGAGCTCTAAATGTTTAGTTAACTAATGTGTTCAGTAGATGCCTCATCTTTCCTAGGCTTTTAGTAAAGTACCTTTAGTAGAGAAAAACCTATTACATATACACACAGTCAAGGATATTATTTTAGTTAAAATTGCAGAAATTTCAAACGAGACTTGATGAATGCCTAAGAATGTGTACTGGTCTTAGTCTGTACATCTTCCTTCCCACTGAAGCAAGATATATCCATAAATTAATGTTCCACCCAGCACTCCACAGGCAATGTCCTGTTCTTTTATTTCTTATTCCGCTCCATTAAGCTGTTACATTTCACGCAAGGCAAAGGGCAACTTTCTAATTACTGAAGTGCAAGAAGCCTTATATCTGACACTTTCCAGATAATATGGGCAGAAACAAATGGTCTATGGAAATTAAAGGTGCAAGTCTGTAGGAAGAAATTGGAGGACTTGAAGATAGAGGACTTGCATGCTCAGCTATTCCTTCTAGCTGTGGAAGCTGGTCTAACAAAAGATGAGCTCTTCCTCTCCTCAGAAACAGTCTCATTGCCTGGAAAGGTTATTCCTTCTCTACTGCTGAGCAAAATTGAGATTTTACCATGCACTATCCCCATTAAATGGATGTGTGAAAGTCATTGGAGTGCACCAGCTCAGCATAAAGTCAAATGGGGAACTGCGTTATGTCTGTAAAACTGAAGTGGTGCTTTGGACTTGCATTGGCCTGCTGAGCAGTAAAGTGAGTTACACTCTGCATGAATCCAAGATTCAAAACTTACCGCTAAGTAGTTTTGCAGGGTTTTGTCTGGACAAAATGAACCCTGCCTAGCAGCAGACTGCCCTGCAATTTCTTTTTATTAAACATATTTGGAAAAAGAATTTGTTTCCAGATGGAATCATTTTGTTCTTGTCATCCTGATACAGCTTTGGAAACTAAAATGCTCCTTTGAAGGAATTAATTGTTTTTTATTCTTTTTTTTAATTCTTTTTTTTTTTCTGACATTTATGATTGGGTCACTCTGTTCATCTCCTCTCTACAGCAATTATGTTTTCCATCTCAGAGAATCCAGAATAACATGGCAATCAATAGTGGGTATGAAATGAGGATAATTACTTGCAAAACATTATGATTTTCAAACCAATGTACCTGTTCTAAAAGTTATGGTGAAAAAAAAATAAAATTCCACAAGTTAACAAAGGGACAAAACCACAAAATGTAAATGCATTTTCCAAGCAATCCTTTAAAATCTGAAATATGTTAGAAAGTCTGTAATTCCATGCCTATGATGGAGGTTGTGCAAGATTTTTAGCTTATAAAATGAGTTCACACACACACGGATAGCATTTCCCTTTTCTAAGATCTTCTGGCCACTTTTTAAACTTGCTAAAAGTTCTGCCACAGAGGATGTGAATTAACTAAAGAAGTGTGTAATGTCAGAACATTAAAGAACTCAGGTTTGCTAATTCACACGTGCTTCTCTAGTTACCCTCTAATTGTAGCCTCTTACTACTTTAACCGAATGGAGGTAATTTATCTAGTTTTTGCTTGATGGCCTTTGTATCACTGAATCGTTTCTTGCAGCACAGGGAAAACTATCTGGTGAAAGATGTACAGCACAACTTCCAACTTCAATTATTCTTTTCAACTTCAATTATTCTAGAAGGAGGCCACCTACATTTGTGTCAGTCATTTAACCACTTGCAACACTTGTTAAAATAGATCACATACAGGGGAAGTGCCTCAGATTTATGGAACACATTAACTATAAGGTTCATTTTACTCAAAAATAGCCGTAAGTATCCATCAGCACACTTTATATGAAAGTTTGGACAATGCCTCAGTATGTTATGAAAAACTTCTGCCATTCACCTTTCCATGCCAATAACAGCAGGTGTTTTTATGGAGAGTGAACATTAGGAAATATTTAGTGTATTTTTACACTCTTTTAATGTGTTGGAGCAGTTGGAAACAAGGAAAGCAAACATTGAGCAACCAGCCAGCTCTCCACAACTAACAACTGTTCCATGGACTACAGCTTGGAAACAACGGAGCTGAACAGTCCGTCAGATTCAACTGCGATATAACTCCACTCACACCACAGAGTTATCAAAACTTGGGGGATCAAAAGTACTTTCCAAATGCAAGGCCTGGGGCATACCTTTCCTGTTAGGACAAGACCGGGTATGAGCTGTCTTCTGATGTCCCTTGGTTCCTCTGAAAGGAACCCCGGGAACACAAGCAAGAGCAAGCTGTGGGGTTTTACCACAGGTCAAAATACATTTTTCATTCAATAAAGATTAAGTGCAAAGCACTATTTACACAAAGGAAGAAAAATGTAATGCACAAATGCAAAGGATGTGGGGGTCAGAGTGCATAGCTTTCTGAATGCAGACAACATTCAACAACTTGGAAAAAACCCTACATTGCCCTGGATTGCATTAACAGCCACAGATGTATCTGTAGGAGACCACTCTGAAAGTGGCTATCACGAGGACAGCAAGCATTCTTCTTATTCACTGACAGATATCATTCATTTAGTATACAGCAAGAAAAAGTTAGTATAGGTATTAGAGAGGACTTCCTGATCAGAGGGGTGGCTAAATATGGGAACAAGTTACCTGGGAGGAAGGAGGTTGGAATCTACGTTGCTGGAGGGTTTCAAGAACAAGTTAGACGTGTATTTGCAAGATAAGCTTGGTCCTGCTGTAGAACAGGAGGCTTGGACTAACTAGCCTGTGGTTCCTTCCTGCTAAATGATCAACATTAACCTTAAAATTTCTCACAACTCAGATGACTTCTTTATTCTAGAATTAAAGCATTTAAAACAAAGAATCATGAAAGCACATGAAAACTACTGGTTTTTAACACTCCTTATATGAGTCTGCAAAGCACACTGCATCCAACGTTTTGCTTTGGAAGCATGTGATACATTTGTGATAAATATGACATGAATATTTCTAACTTAAAAATTTCTGAAGTCTATTTCCCCCAACACAGAGAATTTTGAGTGGGGAAAAAAAAAAAACCAAAACTATTAAAACATGTGGAAAGATAAGGTCTCATAAACCGCTACCATTCCCCAGGAGCATCCTCTCCTATATTCCTGTAAGAGTCCTCAGAGTGGCAGCAGTTCAGGCACAGATTGCTCACAAAAATCATGTTCCATGTGTATAACCAGCCAGGGGCTTACAAGGGTCTTCCAAGCCTGGAAGATTTACCTGCCATGAGTAGGAAGGTTCTGAAGGAAAATAAAAGTGGAATATACAGCTGTAACTGGCACATGCAGTAGAAATCCTATGAGTATTTTTTTTTTAAATAGCAAATTTCATCTGACAGCATCGATTTAAAGGAAAGTATGGAAAGGTACTCAAGCGCATTACTTGAACACTCCCCAATGTGCTTTGTTACCTGCGTGTCCCCAAAGACCAGAAGTGGTCTTGGGCAACCTTTACATGAAGCTTCTTCCATGAAGAAAAGTCCAGGTCGTTCTCCGAAGACACTATCCCAAGTACAGCAGTATCTCTAGAATTAAGAGATCTAGAAACTGCGATCTGTTATGGACCATTTGTGACCAGCAAATGAGGCTAGATTTAGCCCTCAGATGATGAGAAATTTCAGGCTCAGTCACAAGCTTCCTATATGAGCCTGAGAAAATGTTATCTCCCTTGTGTATGCATAAATAGGAAATAACACTTTCTGAAGCTTATATGGACATCACAAGAATAATATATAGGAGTAACTGGTTGTGAATAAATTTGAAACTACAGTAATAAGACCTCTACATGTGGAGAGAAAGCTAACAGCTATAACCTAAACCAGAATGACTGCTAAGTATTTGGCATACATCTGATGGTGTTTGTCTTATACTTAGAAATAAGTTGGGACTATCTCATCCATGCATGTGCAGAGAATCCCAGCATCCTGGGATTCTATATTACAATAATGGAAATAATTAAAGACAAAAATATCGTAGAATTTACAAGGTTTGTTGAGGACAGAGAGCTTCTGATATTAAGAGGAAATCAGCACAATTATTTCCATAACTCCTCAGCCTTCCCTTGAGTCCAACGCATGTATCCTTTCATATAGGCCAACTCCAGATACTCTGCTGTCTGAAGTCAAACCAACTTCAATGGGAACTAGAACCCTCCCTCAAGGTATGTAAAAAGTTAATCCATGGGATGTAATTATATCAGCTGACATAACTTCATTTGGCAAACAGTCACATGACTGTAATTCCTAAGCTGCATGCTGGGCAACTGCCCTGCTTATTTTACTACAGCATAGCAAATTAAAAATACAACGCTGAGCAAACTGCGGATCTAATTGCAGCACATCTGTGTGGCAGACAGGCATCAATGCTGTTCGTGTTGAATGCAAAATCCCTGATCCTAAAAATCTCCCTGCTCTTGGCTCCTATGGCACAGGCCATCCCTTCCTGAGTTCTGGCCACAAAGTGTCAAGTGTGTCACCAGAGAGCTGAAATGTTATGTCAGATAGAAAAAATAATAACTTCAGAGTTGAGACTCTGTGAAGATGTAAAGTCATTCAGGGAGAACATACTCACTTGCTGCTACCTTGCAGTTTTGGGGCAGGTGTAATTCTGGGCTCTTTTTAGCCTGCAATAACTACCACGAAATGTAAGAATGGAGACTATTCCAAAAACATCTGTTTTCATGCTACTTTTTTGCAGTAAATGGCTAGCGTAAAATTCTGTGCTAAGGAATACCTTGCTGCCACCTGTGACAGGCTTCAAGCTTCAGTTGGTATGGCAGTGCAGTTGAAAACAGTAATATAAGGAGAAAATATCCATGTGTTTATTTCAGATATAATGATTATATATCCTAGAAAAAAGGGAAAGTGTGGGAGGAAAAAGGCTGATCTAGAGTTTGAACAGCCAGGTCATAAGGTGAAAAAAGGGCCTCGAAAAAGCATTTTTTAACAGGCCCTCATTTGCCATGCAGCAGAATCATCGCACATAATAACATCTCTCTTGCTAGACACATCACACAAACCAATGCCAAAACCTCGTAACTTGATCAACGTGGGACTTCTATGTTTAAGTTAATTTCCATAGGAGATAGAGTGCGGGCTGACCCCATCATCCTTTTTTACCGAGGCCAACGCACTCTCAATCATGCTCACGTAGGCAAAATTGCCAAAGCAAGGCCAGCTAAAACATCTCAGTTCCCACAGGCGCCTCGGTGAAGACTGCGTAGAGGCTCACTCTCTAAGAAATACATCTGTAAGAAAAGGTGTTTCCAGTGTTCAAAAGCTAAACATTCATTTTACAGATGAAATTTTTTCACAATACCATTCCAAGAAGCCAGAAATACTGAAAAAATAATGTTTGTGGTCAATTACGAAGACTGATTATAGAAACAATCATTTCAGTGAAATTCTCCCAACAATACAGGAAGTGAAAAAAAAGGGCGAAATGGGAAAGAACTAATTTTAGGTCAAACTTCTGTTTTGAGGGGTTTTAGCTGGCAAGAGCTAAATAGAGATTGGAATAGAGACTGCAGTTTCACTACCCAGATGCAAAGCATTTATGCCAATGGTTTGGGTCTGCATGCTCTTTGGATTTAAAGGATGGAGAAGAGAATTTCTGTTCTACAATGAATTTTGGCCTCCTTACTTGTTCTTTTTCAGACAGAGAAGATAAAAGATTTAAACACTTTTTCTAAAATGGAAACAATGAGGAAGTTCACGTTGGATAACAGAAACATTTTGTTTCAGTGAAGTAAAAGGCTTTGTTTCAAGAACTCTGCAGTGTGATTAAGGCAGAGCAGCCACAACCTTGGCCAGGGAGATGGCCTCTCTTCTTGGGTCGCCCTCAAAGCTAGCTCTCCATTATTCTTTCAAATGTAAATTATACAAGTGTTTCTGAATACTAACTTAAATTTACATGTCAAACAAACAATTCAAAAGCATAAAGGAAAAAAGCAAAATGGTCAAATGATGAATGATTCCCAAATCCAAATATTTTCATAAAGTGAGAAATTTCTCACAATCTTCCTGACTTTTTTTTGGTGAATATTTCACTGAAATGCAGGCCCACAGAACATTGAGATTTTTATGAAAGTACAAACCAATGAAAAACTGCTCCATGTAAATCTTTTCAGCCATCTCCAGCTCTGATAGAATGTACCTCCCCACTAAGAGCAGAAAAACTTGTCATTTACAGTACTAGAGTTAAAATATACCACAAAGAAAGTAGAAGAATTTTATCTTTGGTTGTCTGTTGTTTTTTTTTAAAATCTTTGCTATTTCAAAGAGAATTTCTACTACCAGAAAGACAGCTGTTTGGAGAAGCTGGCTCCTTGTATACTACAGTTTAAAGGAAAAGTGGGAGCCCACCACCATTTCACACGGAGGTGAATGATCACGCATGGTTGAGGGCTGTAGCACAGTCCTCCTCTGATGCTTACCCTAGCTCATGTTGTCCCACAGCTGAGGCCATAACCACCAGCATCTATGCAACAAAGGTCCCCCTCACCTGTCCCTTGCCACAGCAGCTCCCTGCGCCATGCAGAGGGAGAGAGGCAGCAGCGCTGTGCTGCGGTGGGATGACTGTTGCCAGTAAAGACAAGGTTTGCCAGGCCTATCCAGTTGCACACTGCCAAGCCATTGCCAAGTACTGCCGTCCTTCCCACCACATGATGCAAGAGACACGGGTGATTCACGGCACAGAGACGGGTCTGAATCACTTCTCGTAAGATTGAGTCCAGTCAACACCACATGACTCAACAGGGTCTACTTTGACAACATACATGGACACACACGTGTATTTCAGGAAGCAGGGGTTACCTCTTCTGGTTCATTGAAGCCAGCTGACTCCATTCATTTAGGCAAGGGTTGTAACAATGGGCAGCCGAAATCTCCTGGCTGGTGATCCTGTAGCCCCCAACGATGAACAGGTAGTTGTCCAGCATTGCCGACCCATAGCCTCGGACGTTCACCAGATCAGGGGGCAGGTTGTTGGCCAGGGGCAGCCACCTCTGCGCTTCCTCATCATACCTCAGCATAGACCAGGGGGCTTCTACCTGAGGGTGACAGCCGGGAGGCAGGCCCAGGGAGGAGGCACCCATGAAGTCCCCGATGGCCACGAGGGTGGCGGTGCCCCTCATCCGCCTCTCCTTCAAGTGCTGCTGGAGAGCATGGGGCAGGAGGAGATGCGACCGGGCGTCGGGCCTCCGCAGCACCTGATGGTAATGGGTGGCCATGAAGTCTAGACAGGCATCGTGCAAGTCCTGGAGACCGTAGACCTGAGCCAGGCGGTGCAGCTCAAAGCAGTTGCCCAGCCTCACCTGAGAGAGGAGCAGGCGGAGCAAGGGGGTGACCTGCAGGTAGGAAGCGGCCTCCACCAGCTCCTCCAGCAAAGGGGGCTCCTCATCGCCCCCCTCCTCCTGCTCCAGCCTGGCCAGGCAGGAGGTGTTGATGAAGTCCAGCACCAGCTCCAGCCCCAGAGCGCTCAGCCCCCCGCGCAGCAG